GCAGAAGATGACCTCAGTTGTGCCCCATGAATTTTGGATTTCTGTATGGGTTCCTTTCTAACTGAAGCCAGGATCTGAGGCTGTGACACTACTCTGAGCTGTAGGATGGCAGAGGCTGAGAGGTCTTAGATGTAAGGACAATCAATCATGCCACTCACTTCCGGTGTGCATGTGAACATGAGCAAAGGAAGTCTCTCTGTGTCCAGGGCTCATGTAGTGTCATGTTAGCAGCCATCTAGCAGAACCCTAAACCCAGACAAGTAACAAAACAGCCCTCCACTCAGTGGAGACCTGAAGTTCCATGATGTTGGGCAGGGCTCTTTCCCCTCATTACAGGGACTGAACTTGGGATCCCTGCAGAACTGGTGGTGTGGAGGGAGCCCATGAGTCCCCTACAAAATGATACATTTCCTCTTCTGGAAGAAAGTGTTTTTCCGGCTTTACTTATTTATTTTAAAATATTTTATATGTATGTGTATGTGGTGTAAGTATGTATATATGTGTTTACATGCATATGGGCACTTGTGTACACGTAAGTTGATGTCAGGTGTCGTCTTCAGTTGCTCTCTGGCTTTATTTACTAAGTCAGGATCCTGCTGAACTCAAAGCTTGCCAAGTTTCATGCCCTAGTTGACTTTGACCATCAACTTGACACAGCCTATCGTCACCTGAAAAGGGAGTCTCAATTGAGGGATTGTCCAGATCAGACTGGCCTGTGAGCATGTTTCTTGAGGGTTGTCTTGATTATTCATTGATGCTGGAGGGCCTACCCCACTGTGGGCAGTACTATTCCCTGGGCAGGTGATCCTCAGATAGATAAGAAAGCTAGTTAAGGGGCTGGAAAGATGGCTCCATAGTTAAGAGCATTTGCTGCCCTTGTAGAGGACCCAGGTTCAGTTCCCAATACACACACACACACACACACGTGTACATACACTCAGGTATACACACTTGCACATAAAATAAAAATAAACCTTTAAAAAGCTAGCTAAGCATGCGTCTGCATCAGTATGAGCAAGCAAGCAGCATTCCTCCAGTTTCTACTTCAAATTACTACTTGAATTCCTACCCTGACTTCCCTCAGTGATGGCCTATAACCTGTAAGCTGAACCCCTTTCTTCCCTAAGTTGCTTTGGGTCAGTGTTTGTATCACAGCAACAGAATGAAATTAGATCACCCAGCTAGTCAGCTTGCCCTGGTTATCTTCTGTCTCTGCTTCCCAAGTACTGAGATTACAGGTGGCCACCATGGCTACCTGGATTTTATGTGGGTTCTAAGGATCCAAACTCTGATTGCATGCTTATATGGCAAGTGTTTTATCCACTAAGCCATTTCCCCAGCCCTTAAATAATGGTTTTAATTGATATATTCATTGTACCTGGTATTGGATTTCATAAGGACATTTTCATTCATGTGTATAATGTGCTCTGAGAATCTCTCCCCCCACCTTCCCCGTTCATGCCAGATTTTTTTTTCACATGCATAATCTTAAAAAGTTAAGAAACACAGCTGTTCTAGCTTTGCTCTGAACCTTTAAGACCAAAGGAGTTAGGAGGAAGTTAATTTGGGTGTCAGCTGGATTTAGATTTGAATAGCCTCCAATAGAGTTAAGCTGGGTGACTGCAAAACTTCTCTGAACCTATGCTTTCTGAAACATGACCCAAGGATAGAAAGGCCTATTTTGAAGTTGTAGAGATGTATAAAAACTAAATACAGAAAGGGTAAGTGCTAAGAACAATTCCTTCTTTCTCGTTCATGCCATGAGTACAAATGAAAGCAGGCACCTATTCTGTCCTGTCCCTCATCGGATGTTCTCCAGCACCAAATATAGTGCCTGGCACATTGTAGACACTACTGTGGTTCAATGGATGGACAGAGGACTTGGGTTAGTGCCCAGTGAAGTCTTGCCTGTAGTAATACTTCTTTAAAGCACTTACTTTCTAAGTGAGTTTGTGGTGCTGCCATTCATTGTGCTAAAACCTTCCTGAGGTAGTTAGTCCCATGTCCTATTCAATGTCTTCCTGGATAAATGAAAAGGCTAGATCTGCTTAGCCTATGTTCAAAGTCATGACCTGTACTGGACACTTAGTCTGTGTCACGGCTGGCCAGACCGTAGCCTATAGTAGGCCCTTTACCTGTTTTTGCAAATAAAAGCTTGTAGGAACACAAACATGCTCATTGATTATTTATTGTCTGTGACTGCTTTTATGTTCAGCATAGGTGAGTAGTTGGGATAGAGACCATATGAAATACACTGCTTACATTAGTTGCCTTTTTACTGAAATATCCCACCACTCCCTCCTCAATACCCTATGTACTTCTTCCTACGGCCCTTCAGAATTGGTCATTATTTTATTTTATTTATTTTATATTTTATTTCAGTCTCACTATATAGCCTGACCTGGCCTGGAACTCACTCTGTAGACCAGGCTAGCCTCAAACATGTGGCAATCTTCCTGTCTCTGCCTCCCAAATGCTGGGATTACAAGTGTGTATCACCCATGCCCAGCTCAGAATTGGCCTTAAGATGCCTTTTTTAATGGATGGAGCTAGGACCCAACAAAGTTATGTATCTTCATTGAGATTGTGTGACTAAAAGTTAAGGTTTGATTATAGGTCTGACTGATTCTATAGCCCATGGTCTTTCCACCGACACCTTCCAACACAACATAAATCTAGATGAACCACACCTGTCTACCAGTTCTGCCTGGTGCCCATGGCAGATATGAAGAGTAAACTAGTAAAGTGCCCAAGTCATGGTGTAGCCTGGAAGTCCTGGCATTTGTCAGCAGCCTGGTTCAGGTCACTCACTGGTGTCAAAGTGGAATAAGGACTGTAGGGGCCACTTCTGCAGATGACAGGGTGGTAGGGATGCTCAGTTGCTATGGGCACAATGCTGTTTCCCAAGGGGCATTTCCAAAAGAACCCCTGTTATTGCTGAATTTGTTGCTGAATGTGTCACCCACCCTCTCTGCTGCCTTGGCCTGTAGTATGTAATGCTTATGCATTTTCAGCCTGTAGCTGCCTCATAAATTTCTCTTTCCCCAGGCTGTTAAGGCTGTGAGAGCTTTGGACCTCTCAGTTTGCTTCTTGGTGCTGTACCCTCAATGTCAGGTCAGATTCCAAATTGGACATAAAAGTTTTTTCACCATGAATTAATCCTGTGGAAATTATTTGATCATTCCAGGTGGAATCCTGTGCTTCTGCTGTCAATCCAGACACTCATTCCTCCGCCTCCTCTTCCTCCTCCTCTTCCTCCTCCTCCTCCTCCTCCTCCTTGTCTCCTTCACTCTTATGATTATTTATTCATTTTTATTTTGTGTTTATGAGTGTTTTGCATATGCATATATGTATATAAGCCCAGATCTGCATGCAGTGTCTGTGGAGTTCAGGAAAGGGTGTCCCATCCCCAGAAACTGGAGTTACTGAAGGTTACTAGCTACCACTTGTGGGCTGGGAACCAAATCCAGGTGCTTGAAAGAGCAGCCAGTGCTCTTAACTACTGAGCCTTTTCTCCAGTCCCCACTCTTCTAATTAATTTTTCCAAACTTATGATCTGGAAGAAACAAAATTGGAAGCCTCAGCTCCTCCTGCTGTCATGGACTGCAAGCCGTGTTTGCCTTGTAACTGTGGTTGGGGGACAATACTAACAACAGTGGCAAAGTTACAGCCACTCATCTGCCAGAGGATATACCTAAGAAGAAATGGCCATGGTGCTCATCGGTCATCACATAAAAATGATGTTGGATCTGGTTGTTGGGTTTGTGAGGAAAGAGGTGAGAAGGATTAGAAAGTGAATGTTTTTCCTTCTGGTCCATTGTCAATTCTGTCTTCCTACTTGCCACGGGGGAGTGTCAGTGACTCTGATTTCGTCAGTGGCCGGGGGAGGGGGGGGCTGCTGATGGAAGATTCCACTGAAGGACAGCAGAGCTGCTAGGTGAACAGGAAGGAATCAGAGCTATAATTAACTCCCTCTTTCAATGCATTCTATAACAGTGACCCTTATTCCTCCAAAAATGAGGAGTTTGAGTCTAACCCTATGGCTTGCTCACTTATCTTTTGTCTTCTGTTAAAAATATAAGCAGGTAAAAATGGGGCAACTCTGGTTTATTGGAAGTGGAGGAACCTGAAAAAAAATGAAGTAACAATTCCTTTGTTGTGCCAGTGGAAGTCCACAGGGAAATAATAGGTTGATTAAAATTCTTGGTGTATTGTTTAATTATTCAGAATAAGTTCTTTGTATAAAAGATCATTTCTTCTCTGTAGTTCTTTTGGCTTATTTCTAACATACTAAATCAATGCTTGTTTTTTGCTAAAGCTTTAAAGTGTCCAAGTAGCTCTGCACCTTTTATATTATTTGTTTCTGTCTCTTATTAACCAATTAATACTATTGATATGTGGTTATATTTCTGCCGTAGACATGTGTATTCTAAACTTGTCACAAAATTCAGATCTACCTCTTTATGGAAACTGAATAGAAAAAATTCAAAATCATAAATGACTATTGTTGTGCTTTGACCTGAGGAGGAATTGACAAATTAATAGAATTTTAATTTATACTAGTAAGAAATAATGTTAGTGATGATGCAATAACTTCCTACATAGGGAAGGGACTCTGAAGAAAACATAGAATTTTATATAAATGGTGTTCCTTGGAGTTGTTTATACCTAGTGTACTTGGTGCAAACAACACATTAATCGGGGAAAGGGCAAAGAGTGTTCATAGACCCATGTGTACTAATTAGTATACCATATGCCCATTAGGGGAAATAATTATATTTGTTCTTCCTATAGCAACATTAAGAAGGCAAGCTCCTGATGAGCTGTCATTTCTGCATGGCTTTGTTGCTGTGCTTTTTAAGCCTTGTGCTATTTCATTATAAGTTCTAGTTTTTGTGTATGTGTGTGGTGATGTTGGGGGTGGTTGTATACAAGGCTTACAGTGCTTGGCTGACAGCTTTGCTGAGCTCACATGTTATTCCTATTTCTGTGTCTGCCAGGGAGAAATGCTTGCTGCCTCTCCAGTTGGCTTTGGAATCCAAGAATGTGAAGCTGGCCCAACATGCTTTGGCAGGGATGCAGGTATGACTTTGACTGGATGAAGTGGGGTGACAGAAATTGACAGACCATTTTGTCATTGGAAGAGCAAGTTGTTAACATTTTAAATACTGACTGAATAAAACTATCAGGAAAAATTTTGATTAAAGCAAAAAATAACCACAGAAAGGAACAGAATCTTCCTAGAGTTCCAGAATTTCTATAGGCACAGTATTATTTGGTTGAGCCAAATCGAGCATTAATCCACAGGGACCCAGGTAAGCCCCCAAACATATTTTTTATGGAGTCCAACTTTTAGGAAAGTTAGGGACCCCAGGAAAGACAGACCCTGGGAAGTTTATATCAGTTAAAATCCTGTCTACATTCCACATATGTGGTTTTGTGTAAAAAGAATTGAAAGTAAATGGGAAGGATTTTTATTTTTTTAATTGATTTCTGTATTTTGTTTTTCATGCAATTGCATATTATACACTGAACAGACTCCCCCCATTATCTGCACCCCCCCTTCTCCCCACTGCCCCCTCCAGTTAATCTCTTTGTTCCCCCAGACAATTCTTTCCTACTTTCATGACTTGTATACATACATGATTTTATGTATCTATATAACATCTGAGAACCCCAAATAAAAGAAAACACATAATATTGTCTTTCTGACACTCGATTTGCTTAGTATGATTACCTCCATTCCATTTGCAACCGTTTTCCTGTGAACAATGTAGCATTCCTGTTGGCATATATTCAGTGTGCACAGAAATGAGATTTCATAAAGACATTTCCATACAAAAGATATCATAAACTTTGAACAGTATTCAACCCCACTTTCTTCTGTTCTCCCCCATGCCTAAGTCCCTCTGTTTCCATTCTTCCCCAGCACAGGCTCCCTTTTCCTTATGCATATATGATTTTATGTATCCAAACATAAAATATGGGGTCCCCAAGTGAGAGAAAATATGGTATTTGTCCTTCTGAGACTGGCTTAATTTCCTTTTTTATTCTACAGTTAGATTGGTGGCTAGATTAATGTATTTTGTTTTTAGAAAAGACTGGCAAGAAAAAAATTTCAGTTTAGTAAGAAAAGTCAGATTGCTTGAACACGTCTTTCTCTGAGTGCTTGTGTTTTACATCAAACAGAATGGTTCTAATCCTAACAGAGAAAAGGTGACAGCTGTATAAACACATTGATTTTATAAAGTGATTAGGCTTCTTGAAACACTGACACTCAAGCCTGCAGGGGCTGTGGCTGTGTACTGGTAGACTTTGTTATTGTGTTTCCTGTCAATATAGACAATATCACAGTTTTTCGGTTCAGAAAGGCCCTAATGCCATCTAAGAGTGAACAAACACATATAAAAGAGTGAGAAATCAGCCTATCAGCCTCAGTAGATTAGAATTAATACATGTTTTTACATGCAAAAGTATATGAAGTTTTAAACCACTGTGATGAATATTATTTAAAACCCTTCTCTTTCCTCCACTGTAATAGAAATTAATAAGATTTTGTTTTGATCTGCTATACTTCTTTTTCTACAATATTGTATAGATTTCCTACTTTGTTTTGTTTTTGTTTTGTTTTGTTTTTTTCTTTTTTTAGCCCTGGAACATTTAAAATTGCAGTATAATATTCTCAAGGGTTTGTTTAATAGTGTTAATGCTGATGACTTCATTGGTATGCATGACTTCCTTTGACCAGTCTGTCCCTTGCTACCTACTACCTAGTAACTTTTGGTGCATATACAGAGCTTCCAAGTGTTTCTTGCTTGAAGACAGCTTTGAATAGGGCTTTAACTCTGGGCTGCCATGGAGATACCACATGATGTGAAACAGATTCCTAATGCAACTAGGAATGCAAGATACATTGGAAAAGAGCAAATTACACAGAGATAAATATAAAGTCCTATACTAGAGTCTCAAAAAAGTCTGTTGTACCAGGTCAGAATGAGAAGAGAACAGCTTAATTGCAGTTCTTGTGAGTGAGAATTAGGGGTTTTGGAGTGAGTCAGCATAGATTGTGCCCTGACTACCAGCTAAGTTCTGACCCAAAAATGTGACTCAAGCTATCCATCACTGTGTAGTGCACTGCGTATATCCATCACCTGACAAGGCTATACTGAAAATCCTATGCTCATTCCCAGGCCACAGTCTGAGCAAGAGAATCTTTGCAGGAGGCCGAAGAGCCCTATCATGGAAAAGAGAAAGCTTGAGTGGATGTGGTGGCTGACTTCATGTATTTTAGATGCTTCATCTAAGTGACTCCAGTGAAGGATGAGCGAGTGGAATTATAGGCATATGGGCTTGGGAGAATTCTGTGGAAAGTAAGCATTGTCCTAAAATAGCAAAGGGCTAACTCGTGAGCTCCCCTGGGTATCCTCGTGCAAGTGAATGCCTTCATTTTCTAGTGGGATATGTAGTAAGTGTTGTGGATTCTGGAAGGATTTCTGGATAAACGCAGGTTCACATTAGGTAGTTAAAACATAAATAATATTTAAAAAATGGACTTGGGCTCTCAAGACCTTTTCCTTTCACGTAACAAAGCTTATGTTGGTTGAGAAAGGATATGTATGTGGATGACTGTTCTGTGGGGCTGGGTCTCCCTTGGCACTTTCATGCTTTCTTCCCACCGCCTAAATAACCCAGATGGCCAGCCCATTAGCATTTTATTGGCTGGAATTTAGAATCAATTATCTAGTATTAAGAAAACATTTTTTTCCAAAACCCATTTATCCAAGGTTTTGTGCATTTTTTCTTTTTTAATGGTACGTAGTATGAGTACTTGCCCAATGATCTCCAGCTACGTGCCTCCTGGGTGGAAAAAAAAAAGATCATCAATACATAATAAGATACAACAGGAAAAGGCAGCGGGGAGAGCCTATCTGTGATGACAGTCTTGTGCCTCGTTGCAGAAGCTCCTGTCAGAAGAGAGGTTTGTATCCATGGAAACGGACTCTGATGAGAAGCAGCTGCTCAATCAGATCCTGAATGCCGTGAAAGTGACGCCTTCGCTCAATGAAGACCTGCAGGTGGAAGTGATGAAGGTTGGTTTGAAGTGACCACCAATGTGCGTCACTGGGACAGGAGCACATTGTGACCCCTGCACTTATTATCTCATGCTGCTTTTGTATTGTGACCATGCCTCTGCCTTGTGGTCATCTTTCATTTGGAATAGATGTGTATCATGCTTGTTTGTAGTCTTCCAAAATCACTTTGATTGTTTAGCAATGAAAAGGTACAGTTTCAATAAGTCTGTAAGGTATCTGCTTTATCCTGCTTATCAAGTGTAATTCCAGCTTGGGGTAAAATGTGTCATTCTGGGTACCCTGCCCACCTGTGTGCATTACAGCAAAGCAAAGTCCTAATCACGTTTTGTCATATACTGAGTATTTTACCTGGTAGGCTTAGTGGGAGGAAGTCCACCTTTTAGAGGCATATCAGAGTCATGTCTACTGTTCTTTCTCAGATTATATCAGCCAGGCCTGAGGAGCTGGTTCACTAGATAAAGTGCTTGCTGGGCAAGCATGAGGACCTGAATTCAGATCCCTAGCACCCACAGGCAGGGTGGTACACATCTATAACCCTGATATTAGGAGGCAGAGGCAAGTGAATCTCTTAGGCTTCCTAGCTAAAATGATAAGCTCCAGGTTCAGTGAGAGACTCTGTCTCAAAAAATAAGGTAGAGAGCAATAGAGGAAGATCCTCAGTGTCAGCCTCTGTCTCTAGATGCACACACACAGGTGAACACATATGTGCACACATGTGTAACACACACAAACACACACACTGTCAGCCCTATCTCCCTTATGTCAATTACCTCTTCTCTTTTAAGGATGACATCTCTCCCTCCCTTCCCCTCATTTTCCAGAAAAATCACCACAGTCAGGAATCGTTCATGCTTGTTGGAATGTGTCATGATCTATGACCAAATGTTGGGTAGAAAAAGATGGGCTTTGCCCCAGAATCATATTGTGGCCACAGGAGCACATCGTGAACTAACAACACAGCTTTTAGTGTGACCTGTCCTTTTCCTTCCTAGAGGAACATGTGTAGAGGAATATTCTAGAACAGTTGATAGCAAGTAGTGGGTTGATTTCTTCTTAAACATGCACTGTCAGGATTTGTCTTAGTCAAAACACTTCACTTCTTTGGGTTTTGGTTTCTCATCAAAAGAGACTGATTTCAGTCATGCCATTTATTAGTGCCCCAGCCTTCCTCTACTATATTGGTGGGTGGTTCAGGGAAGCGATCATGAAATTAGACTCAGGTATGCCTGCCTGATTTGAACCTCCTTCTTCCATTTGTAGCAGGACTTCCTTGGATGCAGTTCCTCACCAGTCTTAGTCTTGGTTGCTTTGTCTTTACTACTCATACCTACCCATTAGGATCTTTTTGAGGATGAAGCAAGGAGACATTTGTAAGAACATAGCACACAGTATCTGGCACAAAGCAAGTGCTGTGAGAATTCCTGTGTTCCTACTGCTACCTGCTTCCTGCTGCTTCTGAATCAGCACCTCTGTGGTGGTCTAGGAATATCCAGTTTTCTCTAGTGTCCCAAGTGAGTCTTAGACACAGAAAACAGTGAGAACCTGAGCTGGCTGATTTTTATCATCCCATCTGTCTTTGACTACCCTTGCTTATGCAACATAAACTTTTGCCTCATCCTTTGATGTATTTTGGCATGTGTGTGCTATGTGCTCAGAGGAACCAGGGTATAACCACGCCTAGATTTAACTTCAAGACTGCCTCTATGCCACTCTGTATGTGTGTGTTGATGTGCCCATGTGTGTAATGTATGTGGAGGCCAGAGGTTGGCACGAGTGCCTTCCTCAATTCCTTTCCACCTTACGTTTTAAGACAAGGTTCTCACTGAACATGGAGCTTGCCAATTTGGCTAGGCTGGTTGGCCAGCAAGCACCAGAGATCCTCCTGTCTCTGCCTCCCCAGTGCTCTGATTATAGACGTGTATCACCGTACATGGCTTTTTACATGGGTGCTAGGATCTGAACTCAGGTCATCATGTTTGCATGGCAAGAGCTTTACTGGCTGAGCCATCTTCCCAGCTCAGCTCTGTGCCACTCTTGAAAGAGAAGCCAGACCAGCCACCTTGACTTTGAAGGTCCTTCTCCCTCTGAGATCTCATACTAGAAGGGGAGCTTTGGTTTCATACAGAGACATGCCTCACAGGTGGAATATTGATCTCAGAATCCTTCCAGGAATAACTTTTGTGGAATAAAAGAATTTATATTAAAAATAAAATAAGAGAAGCCAGGTGTGGTGTGTGCGTTTAGTCCCAGCACTTAAGAAGCAGAGGCAGGCAAATCTTTGTGAGTTCAAGGCCAGCCTGGTCTACATAGCCAGTCCCAGGCCAGCTGGAGCTACAGGAAGACCCTGTCTCAAAAAAACAACATAAAATAAAATAAGATGAGAAAGTGTGACTGTTTCTGGGATCTGTGGAAAAGCAGCATGTTTGCTGGTCATGTCAGCAGCAGCACCTGTTTTAAGACTTTACCCTTGCTTTCTAATTCCAGCTCAGTGGTGCCTTCTGCCTTGCTGAGGACAGGAGTTGACACATGTTAACGGTTGTATATAAGTCATGGAAGGCCTGCCTTAATGATTTTCCTAATGACACATAAAATATGATGTTACTTTTAGTTAATATCTAGGAGAAATATCAGAGATTGTCAAAAAAGAAAAGAAGAAAATCAGTAATCTTCATGCTCAATTTTTATTAGATTTCTCAAATCTAGAGTCCATTAAAAAGATTTTTCCTGTATGCTATTATTTTTAGTTATTATTTCAGTTTACAAACTAGCCTTAAGAAAGTTTTTTTGTAGTGAACCTTTTATTTTAGCCCAGTTGTCAGAAAATTAGTGACAAGATCACTGTTTTGGGTGAAAACAGTCTGAAATAAGACTTGGAGAAGGACCTCTGACTGTGAGTCATTGAAGGACCCACCACCGTTTGCTGTTTCTAAGATTTAAAATGCTCATTGGGATATAAATGTTGTTCCAAATTAAAGACTTTCTCACTTGGAATGATACATTTTATCTCCTCTCTCTGTACACAAAGGAGTTTTACACAAGCTTTATAGTAATTTCCAGAGATTCAGACCTCTTTATCATGTAATTCTATAATACAGGTAATGAGTCAAGCAAAAAAACTTGTAAATAATTCCTAGTTTTGCTAATATTGCTGTTGCATCAAAATATGTCTAACCACAATTTTCCCTCAAAATTTAAAGAAATA